ATGTCTTCATGACATGGGTTTGATTCGGGCAGATTTCAATGTGCGCAGAAGCAATGTGTGTGAGGTGAATGGGTTTTAGTCTCCAGGCCCAACCTACACCCATGTGTGATTGCGGTGCTTTTATGCATGTACAAATTCCAGTACATGCAGTGGTTGTGACTGTTCCCTAGATTTTATGAGAAGTTCAGGCATCCATGCATTGCATTTTATGCCAAATCAACCCCATGCAAATTATCTGTCTATGTCTGAATGTTTAGGGGGCCTGGAGATGGGAAAAACATACCAGAAAAAGCAGGCTAGAGGGGCCAAATAACTCTCCTTCTAGCTCCTGACACCAAGTGGGTTTCATGGCTTGAGTGGCTATTTGAATCTGGGTCTCATTGTTCCTGCTTAGGAACTTTAATCATTTTATACCCATCTGTGGCATTTGCTCTCCTAAGTGTGTGACATCATACTGGGTTCATAAGGAAAGGGTTAACTAATTGTAAAATGACTAACCAATGGGAACCCAATGGGCAGAGTTAACTGTGTATAAGGTTTAAGCACAGAGGGTTTTTTGGAGAGAGTTAGAGTTAGGGTGGTTGAGAAGACAGTCTGGAGTTAGAAGAGAGAGAGAAGATAAGTCTGTGGGTTGGGCTAGTCTGGTGTGAGAGAGTGAGAGAATTTGTTAAGAGGAGTCAGTCAAACAGTTGAGATAATCAGTCAGAAGGTATTAGGAAGGTATAGGCCGGTAAATAAACTAAAGTTAAGATACTGACAGGAATATTATCTGAGAAACCATAAACTTGTTAATGTTTGTAAATGTTTGTTTTACAAATGTTTTAACAACTGTATGGACTCAGTGTTTTACCCGAGAGTAACAGGTTGGTGGCAGCGGGGAAGCAAGCACAGGGATCAATAGACCGTTAAACGTCCGGGGACCCTGTGTGATCGCCACAAAATCTTTGGTGAGAACAACAAGATGCAGCGGGGGGCTTTTGTTGGCAAGGGGGGGGGACTAAGAGTTCACGCACCTATTCTCAGGCCTGGAGCCCCACCCTCGTGCAAAGAGGTGTTCCTTCCAGATCAGGGAGGGAGAGGCTGGCAAGAAGCCAAACAGCTGCATTTTGTAGGAACAGATCGTAAATCACAGCTCAGCAGGAAGTCCAGCGGGAAAAGGGATTACAGTAATTGCGCCCGGGTGTAATAAAAGCAGGAATGAATTTCTCCAGATCTTCTCATCCTTATTGGGCTTTCTTTGAGGTTTGATCATGTCCCCAGTTGGGAAATCTGGAAGGAACCCTTCGATGGAGTCACAGCTCTGTCCACATGTGCGTGGGGGAGAATGGGTGTGAAGCTTTCGGAGTAACGTTTCTCCGGTGATGCTAAGCGGAAGACGAGCCAGAAGACTCTGTTGTCCAGGCAATGATTTCCCATTTCCCAAATGTATTTCAGCTTTTCTTACAGGCAGATTCGTCGAAGCTATGTCCACCGGCAGCTGTAAGTCGGTAGGGACCAGCAAAAGACACAAGTCTGGGTTTTGTGTATGGTAGCTTCTTCATGAGACAAGCTGCCATAGATTTATGACTGTGAAGGCAATTTCATGTGAGTTCCCTGTTGGACTGCAGCTGTTGCTAACTCCTAAGAGCAGGAATAGCCAACATGGTGCCCTACAGATGTTGCTGGACCAGAAATCACATCATCCCCAGCCAACATAGGAATGATAGAAGCTGAAGCCAGGCACCATCTGGGAGTACAGAGTTGGCTACTTTAAGTTTCTGCTTTCTCCTAGACCAGAGATGTCCTCCTTAAAAAAGCTCAACAGCTCTGGGCAAACCCACACACGCTCCTCTTCCCTCCAGTGATAATGGGTAAATCACTGCCCATTTTTTTATACAGTGGATCCTCAGGTTACGTTACTTGAGGTAATGTAGTCATTGGGTTGTGAACGCGACAAACCTGGAAGTGGGTTTGCCACTTGCGCGTGAACAGAAGCACTCTGCACACCTCGCGCATGTGCAGAAGTGCTCTGTGGCACCGTGCATGTGCGCAGAAGCGGTCCTCCGGTTATGAAATCTTCAGGCTATGGCTGGGCCTCCGGAACGGATCCTGTTCGTAACTGGAGGTACCACTGTACTGGGAGTAGATCACAGTAGAATGGACGTGCCTCCACCAAGAGGTAGAGTCAATATCCATCCTTTGTTACCCCCTAGGCTTTGGGCAATTATTTTCCTTTCAGAAGGTGTGGTTATTAGTTAGAAGGCAGAGGGCCTTCTCGGTAGTGGTGCCTGCTCTGTGGAACACCCTCCCCTCAGATGTCAAGGAAAGAAACAACTATCTGACTTTTAGAAGACATCTGAAGGCAGCCCTGTTTAGGGAAGTTTTTAATGCTTGATGTTTTATCATGCTTTTAATATTCTGTTGGGAGCCGCCCAGAGTGGTTGGGGCAATCCAGCCAGATAGGCAGGGTATAAATAATAAATTATTATTCAATCATTATAGTGTTTCTCCAGTTTCAAAGCTTTTATCTGGAACATTGTCTCACTTCACCTGACATTATTACTTCATTTGATGCAAGTTGTTTATTTTAAAGTTATATTGTGACTTTTTTATTGGATCAGATTGTTATAAGGCATGCGATCTTTGCTGAAGGTTTTGTTGTTGCTTCAGCTTGTAAACTGCCTTGTGGTTAGTAATACAGAAAAGCGGTATACAAATTAAAAGGGAAACAAAATATGAATTGGGGCAGAAATTAGGTTCAGTAATTGGCACTTCCTGAAGCAATATGTGAACCAAAACATAGCGGCCCTTTGACACTTGCACTTCTCTGCATTTTGGGACGCCGTTCTCCAACCGAGAAAACGTGTTCAAAAACACAGGGGAAAGTGTGTGCAAAATTGCACGTGTCAACGAAAATAATGCATTGTAGTCGGGGAAATGGCTTGCCAAAATGTGTATATTAGCCACCATACAAAAATGTGCCTGTTAGGAGAAATGTGCAGTCGAAGGCTAACAAATGTTCGTGAAGGTTGTTTTTTTAAAAAAATAAAATAAAAAATGCAGACTGATGTGGAAATGTAATGAACTGAATTTAAGATCGGAAAAATGGGATTTGTCCATCCCATGCCAGGAGACCTAGGTAGTTGTATATACAGTGGTACCTCGCAAGACGAATGCCTTGCAAGACGAAAAACGCGCAAAACGAAAGAGTTTTCCGTTTTTTGAGTTGTTCCGCAAGACGAATTTCCCTATGGGCTTGCTTCGCAAGATGAAATGTCTTGTGAGTTCTTGCGAGTTTGTTTCCTTTTTCTTAAAGCCGCTAAGCCACTAAGCCGTTAATAGCCGCTAAGCCGTTAATAGCCGCTAAGCCGCTAATAGCCGTGCTTCGCAAGACAAAAAAACCGCAAGACGAAGAGACTCGCGGAACGGATTAATTTCGTCTTGCGAGGCATCACTGTATATTGGAATGAAAGCCAATGGCTGCATGGGTATAGCCAGGATTTTTGCTAGGTGGGCAGGTCTTTTGTTGGTGGGGGGGGGAGCAGAACCTCAGTTAGCTATGTATTTTTTCTTGATTTTTGTTGATTGGGGGGCAGCTGCCCCTCCCTGCCCCCCTTGGCTACGCCCATGGATGGCTGTGTGATTCGATGTACTTCTCTACATTGTTCTCTCCCTCACCTGTTCCCTCCCACTATGAAGCGAGCAGAACAAATGCAAAGGCCCTTTGGCTCTTTGACGCAGCTGCGTGGATTTATCCAGTCATTCCATGAGGTGCTCGATCCGAGTGCCAAGTGTAATACTCTAAATGTCAAACACTTGTAATTATGTCACAGCTGAATAAATCTGGGAGGAAGCAAGAGGAAGGGCAGGTCCGTTCTTCTGGTTTACTGCAGGCCGGAGCCAATTTGAGGCATCAACAACACGTTCCCCTGCTCTGGGGATAACATTGCAGACCTGTGTAATCTACTGTTAACATATACAGTAGGAGGAATCTACAGGTATGCAGCCAAACATTTGGCAGGCTATTTCCAAATTAAAACATGAACTTTTCTCCATGATGGTTGAGTTCTTGGTCATGTATCTCTCTCCTATGGCCTGTTCTTTCCCTCCATTTATTTCTCCTCTCAAGACGCCTCTCTTGGGCCTTCTCCACCCTTACCCCCATCCCTCTGGGCCACCACCTCTTCCAGATCTCTCTTCTGCTTCCTTGCCCTGCTGCCTTCTCAGAAACTGACTATTCTTCTTTCACCTTTTGTGATGGCCTGGGAATCCGATTCAGAGGCTGAACCTGAGGAATCCCAGCCTGCACAGGAGTCCCCGCCTCCAGGGCCGGCTGAGCCAGGGCTGGGGCTTGAACCTGAAGGGCCCTCACTTGTGCCGGATCCTCAGGAGCAGACACCAGCTGAATCCGGAGGTGTTCAAGGACCCATTGCCTGTAGGTCTCCTCTCCCAGCCCTGTCAGGGGAAGGTGAGGTTGCCTCTGGGTCTAATAACCCTCCAGCCTCTCCTGAGCGGCAGAGGCTCAGGGCAGAGAGGCGGAGCAAACTAAGTTCTCACAGGAGGAGTGCTCACCTTAAGGCCAGGAGAGGCGAGTCACCTGTGGACTGGGGCTGCCCTAGGCCTCAGAGGAGATAAAGGCCAGTCAGCCCAGTCCCAGGTTGCGGGAGCAACGTCGTTGGAAACCTGTTCCTACCAGCACCCTGACCTGCTCTTCTGGAGTTCCTGACCATGCCTGGCTCCTTGCCTTGGACCCCGCTTCGCCCTTGACGGACAGCCTCCATACCCTCGACCTAGGACCAGATTCGGACCACGCCGCACGGTAACCCCCCCCCCAGGGACCAGCACACCTTTCTAGGATCTGAGCAGCTCCACCAATCATTGCCTGAGGCTCCATCACTGTGCAGCAGTTGCTTGATGTTTTGGGTACTGCAAGAAGGGGGCCATCTCTGAAATCAGCAGCTATGGAATCAAACAACAACCTTCCTTTAAAAAAGCTCGGCAACTAGGGTCTGCACCAGGCGCTAGGCCGCTGTGTTTACCTGTGGCACTGCCATGTTCTATGGAAGAAGAAGAAGAAAAAAGAAAAAAGAAGAAGAAGAAGAACAACAACAACAAGAAGAAGAAGAAGAAGAACTTATTTATATCCCGCCCTCCCCAGCCAATGCCGGGCTCAGAGCGGCTAACAACAGTACAATAATACAACATTCTAAAATCATTTCATTATAAAATCAGTTCAAATCAAATTAGTGGCAACCATTGGGCTAGAGTTCTGTGAGGATTGCCAGAGGAGGGGGTCAGGCTGTGCCTTGGCCAAAGGCCTGGTGGAACAGCTCTGTCTTGCAGGCCCTGCGGAAAGATGTCAAGTCCCGCAGGGTCCTAGTCTCTTGTGACAGAGTGTTCCACCAGATTGGAGTCACAGCCAAAAAAGCCCTGGCTCTGGTTGAGGCCAGCCTAACCTCTCTGTGGCCCGGGACCTCCAAGATGTTTTTGTTTGAAGGCTGTAAGGTCCTCCGTGGGACATACCAGGAGAGGCGGTCCTGTAGGTACGAGGGTCCTAGGCCGTATAGGGCTTTAAAGGTTAAAACCAGCAGCTTAAACCTGATCCTGTACTCCACTGGGAGCCAGTGCAGCTGGTATAGCACTGGGTGAATGTGATCCTGCAGCGAGGACCCCATAAGGAGTCTCGCCGCGGCATTCTGCACCAGCTGGAGTTTCTGGGTCAGTCTCAAGGGCAGCCGTCTTGCTTGCTTCCCATCACTGGAAAAGTAGCAACTGACCTAAAAAAAACCCACCCACCTCCAGCAGATTTGTTCTCCCTCTCTAGATTCCGCCATATAGCATAAAGCAAAGACTTGTAGCAAGGTGCAGCAATGAAGATCTGCTTGTGAAAGCAAATAAAGAAAATGCAAGCTGATGGGACTTGGCCCATGCTGCAAGACTTGGCCCATTCATCAGCTGGTCATACGTGAAGGATTTCCCCCTCCCTGTCCCCTGCTACAGTTAAAGCCCCAGGACTAAGTGTATCCTCAGTCCAAATGCTACCTTTTTGTCAAAACTCAGCGTGTGATTACATTCCCATCTTGATGTCAGGGTCCAGGATTTCCTGCTATAAAAAGCATTTGCGTGAATGGGCTGGCTATCAACCTGCGACAGCAAGGGACTGTGCAGGGAGCATTGCTTTTTCCAGTACAAGCGTCTATTGAAATTGGCATGTCTTCACACTGTTTGACTTTCTGTGTCCATTCACAAGCCAAGCCAGCATAAGACAGTACATCCAAATCTTATCTCTGGTGTAGAATTAAATCAGTATCTTAGAAATATTCTTAAGATGAATGTCCATGTAGTCAAGTGTACATTTCAGTTTTAAAATTCTGTCTTTTTATTCATCTAAGAGGCGGCTGATTAACTCTCTGCCTCCATATTGAGTGATGATATATTATCAAGCAGAGTGTGTAACTAGGAATTTGGTTGAGACTAACCAAACAGTAGGGACGCGGGTGGCGCTGTGGGTTAAACCACAGAGCCTAGTACTTGCTGATCAGAAGGTTGGCGGTTCGAATCCCCGCAATGGGGTGAGCACCTGTTGCTCTGTCCCTGCTCCTGCCATAGCTGTCAAGCATCCCTTATTTGGAGGGACAGTCCCTTATCCCAGCGCTGTGTCCCGCTGCTGTCCCTTATTGATGATGTCCCTTAAATTTCCCGGGTTTCAAAGGAAGCAGCTCCTCTCCCTCCCTCCCTGCCGGCCAGGGAGGAGGGAGGCTCCAACTGTATTGCTTGGCTGCCCGGCCCACCCCCCTCCGGCCTCCTCTCACCAGCCTCAGCCCCCGGGAACCCCTCCCCGCCAGGACTGGCGGGAGCCTTGGGCCCTTCCACCACCATCCTGGGCGTCTCTGCCTGGGGCCTCCCCTCTGCCCGTCACCGCTGCTCCCACTCCCGCTAGGCCGTACTGCGGCTGTACCGCCGAAGGACCCGAATGAGATGGGCAGCCTGGCATGATCTATGAATTGATGAGGAGCCTTGAGAGGAGAGCGAGGGCAACCATAGAGAAAGCAGTTCAGAGAGAGGAGGAGGAGGCGGAGACATGGGCAGGTGTTCCAAGGGCTACAAGGGAAGGACCACAAGCGCTTCTCCCATAGATTTGTAGTGGTAGACTAGCATAGATGGTCTGATCTGCGGGTTTACTTTGGGCGCTATTTCCCCCCCTCCTCCCGCCCCACCTGATGGAATTGAGAGCTGCAGATGGAGCACGAGAGAAAAGATACAGAACTGCAGCAGCATCTTCGTAGCTTGGACTTCGTTTTGCACGAAAAGTGGTTGCTGCTTGTAGTTATTTAATTGCAGTGTTTCATTGGCTGGTGTCTTGAGCAGCAACCTCTGGAAACGAAGGGCTAAAAACCGGTGCTGCTCTCCAAAATTATCTGGTCCCTTTTAACTGGTTGACTAAAATCCCTTATTTTGGCTGCTGGTCCCTTATTTTCAAGGCTGCTGGTCCCTTATTTTCAAATCTGTAAGTTGACAGCTATGGCTCCTGCCAACCTAGCAGTTCAAAAGCATGTCAAAGTGCAAGTAGATAAATAGGTACCGCTCCAGCGGGAAGGTAAACAGCATTTCCGTGCACTGCTCTGGTTCACCAGAAGCGGCTTAGTCATGCTGGCCACATGACCCGGAAGCTGTACGCTGGCTCCCTCGGCCACTATAGCGAGATGAGCGCCGCAACCCCAGAGTCGGTCACGACTGGACCTAATGGTCAGGGGTCCCTTTACCTTTAACCAAACAGTAGAGCAGGGAGCTCAGCCTGGGTTTTTCAAATTAAAAAATCAACATGGATTACAACCACCGGTCAGGATTGAGCTAAGTTACTGAATGTGCAATGAGACTTGTGCAATGGGACTTCCCCCCTTCTCCCCTCTGGCCCCCGCTCCCCAAATCTGCTCTGGAGGGTTGCGGGGAAGCTGAGAACATGTTTAGGGAGACCTATGGGTGCAAGGAGGGAAGAGTAGCCAGGAAGTCTTGTTGCCTGAGCAGATCTCATCCTTTACTCCAGGCATCCCCAAACTCAGCCCTCCAGATGTTTTGGGACTACAGTTCCCATCATCCCTGACCACTGGTCCTGTTAGCTAGGGATGATGGGAGTTTTAGGCCCCAAACAACTGGACGGCCGAGTTTGGGAATGCCTGCTTTACTCGTAGAAGCCCACTTAGTGCTACATTGAATTACAATCGATATATTTATTCATTTAGCAAACTGACAGGCCACTTTGCAAGACAAATTCTTGACAATTTTATTATTAAACCCTTCTTTTGCATCACCATGGATTTGTTGGAATAGGATTCATCTTGTCACAGATTTTGCCCAATTCATAATCTGTTTTAATGATCCATTAAAACTATTAACGCAGGTTAATTCTGTGTCCAGGGCAGCTGTCTACCAGCTCCATCTGGTACGCAGGCTTTCTCTTTTATGTTGATATATTTCTTCTCTCTTTGGTGACGTGTAAGCAGCTATCTTACTTCAGCAATGATGGGATTTGGCAAAAGGGCTTGCTCCTCTCTGATCAGCTGCACATATCCCTTCCCGCCTGCCTGACAGGAGGCCTGCCTCACATTTACAAATCCTTTATACTGGGAGATGGCAGAAAAGAGCCTCTTTTCCCCCTCCCCGTCCCATCACAGCAGGGTGCGCTGAGCTCTTCAAACAAAAACAAGAAAAGCTTTTGCCAGAGAAATTTTATTTCCATTTCAGTACAGATTTCTGAAAGCTTCCAGCCGGCAGCCATGTGTGTTTTTGTGCACGCACACACGCACATCGGTGTGCACAACGAGTGAAACATCTGGTGGAGGTTTAGGGTCAAACATATAAATGAGGGAAGCTCAGCACATTTCTCTGAAGCGCGCTGCATCGGTGACGTCAATCGAGTGAATCGAGCTCTTCTACACGGCAGTTAAGGGAGCCATTAACTCGAGCCAGTGGTGGGAGTGTTTAGATGGAAAATATGAAGCCAGGAAGTTTCTCCTGATTGCAATGTTGAAGCTATCAAGTAGCATGCACTCCAAAGTGGTTTTGTTTTTTTCTGCTGTGCATCGCCCTCCCTGCACAACCTCCCTCTTGCCATTTGTGATTCTGCGATCTCCTTCGCTCCAGCAGCAGGTCAGGTCCGAACCATGAATTTAGTACATTTCCGAGCACAATTCAAAGTGTTGGTGCTGACCTTTAAAGCCCTAAACTGCCTCGGTCCAGTATACCTGAAGGAGCGTCTCCACCCCCATCGTTCTGCCCGGACACTGAGGTCCAGCTCCAAGGGCCTTCTGGCAGTTCCCTCGCTGCGAGAAGCCAAGTTACAGGGAACCAGGCAGAGGGCCTTCTCGGTAGTGGCACCCGCCCTGTGGAACGCCCTCCCACCAGATGTCAAAGAGAAAAATAACTACCAAACTTTTAGAAGACATCTAAAGGCAGCCCTGTTTAGGGAAGCTTTTAATGTTTAATATGTTATTGTATTTTAGTGTTTTGTTGGAAGCCGCCTAGAGTGGCTGGGGAAACCCAGCCAGATGGGTGGGGTATAAATAATAAATTATTATTATTATTATTTAAAGCACAACCAACATACATTTCATGCAGGCGACCTCCCCCAAAGAATCCTGGGAACTGCGGTTTGTTAATGGTACTGGGAACTGGAGATGGGTGAGGGTTAAGCTACAGTTCCCAATATTCATTTGGGGAACTGGTGTGTAGGGTTGCTGTATGTCAAAAAGTGAAAATCTGAACACAAAGTTGTAGAGCTCCCCCACCACCGTATCTCAAATCCCATACATCCGGATTTTCCTGGGCATTTCAGCGATTTCTGCTTTCGGTGGCTGGTTCCCAGCTATATCAGGGAAGTTCCAGGCATATGGCAGCCCTACTGCCTAGTGTTTTGAGTGCACTTCAAATGTGCAGTGTGGTTGTGCCCGAGCAAGTCAGGGCTATTCAAGGATACACAGCGGTGACTCGGCTATTCCAGGAGATTTCTCCCTTTTTTAAACATTGCAGTAGAATTTAATCTATTTTGTCCTTTGAGGCC